GCCTGGCCTGGGGCTCACGTGCCCCCCCCCATCTCCACCCTTGTCCCCAGTGGGCCCCACCATCCTGAACAAGATCGAAGCGGCTCTGACCAACCAGAACCTGTCTGTGGACGTGGTGGACCAGTGCCTCGTCTGCCTCAAAGAGGAGTGGATGAAGTAGGTACCCAGGCCGGGGCACGGCTGCCTGCTTGCCGCCTGCAGCCTGCGAGGCTGGGAGAGGTGGCCCAGGGCCTCTGTCCCTGCTGCCGAGGGCCGAGGGCCACAGCACATGGGGGAGCGCCCCTCCTTTGCAGCCCTGTTCTGTGTAATTAGCTTTGAAACCTAAGTCGGCTAACAAACGTTCCTTTTTTAAAAAAAATTTTTGAGAGACAGAAGCTGCCATCAGCCAGTTCACGCCCCTGATGCCTGCAAGAGACCTGGCTGGGCCAGGCGGGAGTCAGGAGCCGGGAGCTCCATCCGGGGCTCCTGCGCAGGAGCCCGGCTCTACCCGAGCCGTCCCTGGTGCCGGCCCCTCGCCCCAGGGGTCCGTGCTGGCAGGAGCCAGAGTCGGGAGCTGAGCCGGGTACTTCCCAGTGGGCTGTGCGCGTCCCAGGCACCGGGCAGAATGCTGCCCCTCTGGGCACCTGGCTTTATTTCCACCTGCCTTAGCCCTGCGCTCTTCCGGCACGTGCGTCAGACGTCCTGACTGCCCACAGGACAGCGAGGCGTCTGGGCAGGCGGACGAGTTGAGGGAGCTGTTTCTTTCCCGTCTCTCTGCTGTTGGGGTGCACCGGCCCTTGTCCCCAGGGCTGGGGGCCATGGGGCTGGCTGCTCCCCGCCACAACCCGGAGTTGGAATCCCAGCCCAGCTGCAGGGCTCTGGCCGGTCCTGAAGCCGTTTGGCTCGCTCTGCTGGCCGGGACTGGGCTGGGGGTTCTGGGCTGGTGTGTGTGTGGCCGGGACTGGGCCGGGGGTTCTGGGCTGGTGTGTGTGTGGCCCGCTCTGCTGGCCGGGACTGGGCCGGGGGTTCTGAGCGGTCACGTGTCTGGTCCCCACAGTAAAGTGAAGGTGCTGTTCAAGTTCACCAAGGTGGACAGCCGGCCCAAAGAGGACACGCAGCGGCTCCTGAGCGTGCTGGGCGCGGCCGAGGAGGACAACGTGAAGCTGCTCAAGTTCTGGATGACCGGCCTGAGCAAGACCTACAAGTCACACCTCATGTCCACCGTCCGCAGCCCCATGGCCTCCGAGGCGCGGAGCTGACCCGCGTCCCAGCCTGAGGGCCGGCTGGCATGGACCGCATCCTCCAGGGACGTGGGGGCGTGGGGATGGGGCCCGGGCCTGGCGTCGGGGCGCCCGTGACGGGGAGGGCTCGGGGGCGCGCGCAGCTGGTGCCTCCCCGGGACTCGGGCAGAGTGGGCCCGTCCCGGCGTGGCTGCCCCCGTGGCCGCAAGCCCTCTGCAGGTTCCCGAGCCGAGCGCGAGCTTTCTGGGTCTGCGCAGTGAGTCGTGCGCGTCCCCGCCCCGGCCCTGTGGGATGCGCGCCCGGAGGCCATGGACTTGTCTCCCGGGGGTGGGGGAGACTGCAGCAGCAGTGGAGCCGCCATCCTTCCCGCAGGAACACAGTGGGGGGGTGCCTGCCCCCTGCGCCGCCAGGGCTGCAGCCAGCAGTTCCCACGGTGCTGTCGCCTGTGGCGGCTTCACGCCCCACCCCCGCCCCACTGCCTCCATGGGCGCTCATGGCTTGGAGAGGTTGGCAGTTTGCTGGTCTGTGTGTAGTTTGTTTTTGTGTTCTTATTTTAATTTATGTCTAACACGAAGACCAGGTTTCTATGACTGGCTCTCTGTAGGAGGCCAAAAACATTGAAACACAATAAAGTATTTTTCTAAGCTGTTGGTTTGGCGCCTACCATTTTCAGCGTGCTCAGAACACAGGACCCCAGGGTGGCACCGTGAGTGGCCAGCGCTCTGTGGCGGGAGGCGGTCTGAGCCGCGTCACCGCCTCCAGGCCCCCAGGGAGCCGGCCAGGGTTGGGGGAGGAGAGCACCAGGAGGCCCCCCCCGTGCTTGCACCCGGCCACCGGCTCGGCCCCAGGAAACGGGTTCTCGGAGAGACAGGAAGGGGGCTGGGCGGTGGCTGGGTGCCGTGGCACGCGTAGCACGGTGGAGTGACACATCAGTCATCTGCCCCGGCCCGCGCAGGGGTGGCTGCCGCGTAGCTCAGGCGGCCCCTCGGGGCAGGGCTGTCCCAGTCCAGCGGCCTGGACCGGAGACCTGGCTGCCCCGCCGCCCTGTGACCAAGCCTGGCCCCGGGATGCTGGTGCTGTTCACGCCGCCGCGGAGAGCACGAATGCAGAGGCGGCCGGGACTTTCGTCACTGCCCCCGGGGATGGCCGCACTCAGGTGAGCGGGTGCCCTGGTCACAGGTCTGGAGGTGGCAGTGGCGTGGACGTGTCATAAGTCCTGCTGCTTAACCCTTTGTCCCCAGGTGGAGCCACACAGGGTCTTCCTGGCTTTGCTGATGCACACGTGGCAGCCGGGCAGCCCCGGGACCAGGAACGCATCGCCGCAGCGCGGTGCTGGGGGCAGTGCACCCCGGAGCTGCCCTCCCAGTCCTGTCCCAGTGCCTCTCCGTGGAGCCTCACAGCGCCCGTAAGTGCCGAACCTTGAGTTTCTCCGTCAGTTCTCCTAGGAAAACCCACAGGGACGTGGGACGTGGGGGCGGGGAGATGAGTCCAAGGCTGTGTGTGTCGGTGCAAATCGTTTTCCCATGAAGACCCCTTGTATGCACGGATCTCCACAGACTCCCCGAGCAGCCTCTCCCCCGAGCTTTCCCTCTGCTGACGGGCATCACCCCTGTGCCTCTGGGAGGCCCCCACTGTGATGCGCGGTCGGCTCGGGCGCGCGGGTGGGTATCTGTTGTCCTGCACTCACTCCCATCCTGTGGCTTTGAAGCTGCAGTGTCTCTTGCAGACGGCGCGTGCTACCTTCTTGCCTTTTTTTTTTTTTTTTTTTTTTTTTTTTTTTTACAGGCAGAGTGGACAGTGAGAGAGAGAGAGAGACAGAGAGAAAGGTCTTCCTTTGCCGTTGGTTCACCCTCCAATGGCCGCCACGGCTGGCGCACTGCAGCTGGCGCACCGCGCGGATCCGAAGGCAGGAGCCAGGTGCTTCTCCTGATCTCCCATGGGGTGCAGGGCCCAAGCACTTGGGCCATCCTCCACTGCACTCCCGGGCCACAGCAGAGAGCTGGCCTGGAAGAGGGGCAACCGGGACAGAATCCGGCGCCCCGACCGGGACTAGAACCCAGTGTGTCGGCGCCGCTAGGCGGAGGATTAGCCTAGTGAGCCGCGGCGCCGGCCACCTTCTTGCCTTTTAATCCTGGCTGGCAGTTTCTAGTTTTTGACTGCGTGTTATTCTGTATGCATTCATGTAGTTACTGATAGAGTTGAATTTATGTCTACCATTTTGCTATTTTCTATAATGAACTTTTTAACTTTTTGAAGAACCCTTATATTTGACACACACGCAGAGTCACGGCTTTTTTTTCTTTCTTTTTTTAAGATTTATTTTATTTGGAAGGCACAGTTACAGAGAGGGAGAGAGAGATCTTCCATCCGCTGGTTCACTCCCCAAATGGCCACAATGGCCAGGGCTGGGCCAGGCTGGAGCCAGGAGCTAGGAGCTCCATCCGGGTCTCCCACGTGGGTGTAGGGGCCCAAGGACTTAGCCCATCTGCCGCTGCTTTCCCAGGCCCCAGCAGGGAGCTGGATGGGAAGTGGAGCAGCCGGGACTCACACAGGCGCCCACGTGGATGCCAGGTCACACGTGGCAGCTTAACCCGCTGTACTGCAATGCAGGCCCTTAACTGTGGGGGTGAACACCCCCCCACCCTGCCTTGCTGCTGCTTTGTCTCCACCTTTTTGGTTGAAAAAGTGCTCTTTAGGACAACATTTTCTGATTCTTAAGAGCTTCTTTTTAAAAATTTATTTGAGAGGCACAGTTAAAAACCAAGAAAGGGGGAGAGGGAGGGAGGGAGGGAGGTCTTCATCCACTGGTCCATTCCCAAATGGCCACAATGGCCGGAGCTGTGCTGATCCGGAGCCAGGAGTCAGGATCTTCTTCCGGGTCTCCCATGCGGGTGCAGGGCGCAAGGACTTGGGCCATCCTTCACTGCTTTCCCAAGTGCGTTAGCAGGGAGCTGGCTAGGAAGTGGAGCAGCCGGGACTCAAACCTGCTTCCCTATGGGAAGCCGGCATCGCAGGTGGCGGCTTGAGCTGCCATTCCCGCGTGCTCAGAGCACAGCCTCACCCCGTGACACTCGGGGAGTCAGTCCTGGTCCTCCAAGGGGCCCTGAGAAACCGGGATGTGGGCACGGATGCGGGTCACAGCCCACAGGCGCACGACGGGGTGGTCCCGCGTGCCCACCGGGGTGCGCCTCTTGTCTGTGGGGCACTGGCAGCCTGCCAGCCCGCCCCGCCTCCCCTGCCCAACCGCAGCCCCCGGCAGCCACTGCGCAGCGTGGGGAGGGCGACCTGCCCACCAGAGCGCAGCGCTCCCGCGGCTCGCGTCCTCAGGACAAGGAGCTCGCAAGGGCGGGCCAGCTGCGCTGGGACGCCCCGAGCGCCCCAGGTTCTCGGAGGCACCGGGGACTCCCTGGGGGCTCCTGCCCTGCCCGCCCGGGTGGCCACGGGGGTGTGCCCGCGGCTGGGTGGGGGCGCGCACAGGGCGCGGGGGCTGATGCGGGACAGCCTGGTGAGCCGTGGACCCCCTGCGCTCCCCCACCCCGCCCCCGGGAGCGCAGGGTCTGCCCGGCGATGGTCCTGTGGCCGCTTGTGACTGGACTTACGCAAGGGTGCGGCTCGCAGGTGCCTGGGGGCGCCGGGTCCTGGAGCACGTGGGGGGCGTGGCCAGGCATGAGGGAGCGAGGGCGGGAGCCAGCACGTGGTGTGGGCGTGGCTGAACACGCGATGCGAGGGCGGGGGCAAGAGCACAACAAGGGGGCGTGGCTGAGCACGTGCGGGGGCGTGGCTGAGCACGTGCGGGGCGTGGCAAGGCGCACAGGCCCAGGCCCGCGGCGGCGTCGTCGTCGTCGTCGTCGTCGTCGTCGTCGTCGTCGTCGTCGTCGTCGTCGTCGTCGTCGTCGTCGTGTCGTCGGGCATGGGGCGGTTGAGGTGGCGGGCGGTGGCGGCGGTGGCCGCGGGCCTCTCGCTGGCCCTGGAGGCGTTGCCCTGGCTGCTGCGCTGGCTGTGGGCCGGGCGGCGGCGGCGGCCGCGGCGCGAGGTGCTCTTCTTTCCGTCGCAGGTGACCTGCACCGAGGCCCTGCTGCAGGCCCCGGGCGCGGCGGCGGCGGCGGCGGCCCCCGCGGGCTGTCCGTGCAGCCTGCCGCACTGCGAGAGCTCGCTGAGCCGCCTGCTGCGCGCCCTGCTGGCCGCCCGCGCCAGCCTGGAGCTCTGCCTCTTCGCCTTCTCCAGCCCGCAGCTGGGGCGCGCCGTGCAGCTGCTGCACCAGCGCGGGGTGCGCGTGCGGGTCATCACCGACTGCGACTACATGGCCCTCAACGGCTCGCAGATCGGCCTGCTGCGCAAGGCGGGTAGGCCGGGGGGGGGGGGGGGGCGCCCGGGGGGGGGGGAGCGGGCGGGGCCCGGGGGCGCGCGTGCGCCGTGCGAGGGGGCTTGCTTGGCCGGCCCCGCAGGGATCCAGGTTCGCCACGACCAGGACCTGGGCTACATGCACCACAAGTTCGCCATCGTAGACAAGAAGGTGCTGATCACGGGCTCGCTCAACTGGACCACGCAGGCCATCCAGAACAACCGGGAGAACGTGCTGGTCATGGAGGACCCGGTGTACGTGCGCCTCTTCCTGGAGGAGTTCGAGCGCATCTGGGACGAGTTCAACCCCGCCAAGTACACCTTCTTCCCGCAGAAGCGGGCGCGCTGACTCCGGCGGGCCAGGGGCTTCGCCGGCTGTGGCTGGCTCCGTGGGGGCGGGGTGGGCTTGTTAAAAGGGGAATCCCCGCCGTGGGACCCCCCCAGGACACCCCCCCTGGGCCGCCAAGTTGAAGCCCGGGGTGCGGGGCTGGGGGGCCGGGCGCCCTCGCCCCGGAGCGCGCTTGGTTGGGGAGGGGGTGCCCGTGCCTCCAAGGCCCGAAGCCGCCTCCAGCTTGGTGGCCTTGACGTTGGGTCTGCGCGGTGTGCGGGGCGGGGGATAGGGGGGTGGGGGCGGGGCGGGGCGGGGCGGCCTCTTGGCACCGGAATAAAGCGCTCTTGTTGTCAGCTGTGCGTGCCGCGTGTTTGCCCAGCCCACCCCGTCCGGGCCCCTGCCCGCTGCGATCCTGCGCGCGCCCCCTTAAGCGGTTGGGTCAGCTCCCCCAGGGCCCGGGCCGCCGCCTCCCCGCTTCCTGGGCTGAGGTCAGGGCGGCGCTTTGACCAGGAGGCCCGGGAAGCCGCCTGGTGACCGTTTGTACGACGAAGCTCCACATATCCTAATGCGTTTTCAAAGATCAGTTGATTGACTTGAAGGGCGGAGTGACGGAGAGGGAGAGACGGGGACCTGCCGCCCACTGGGTCACTCCCCAGATGCCCTCGACGGCTGGCGGTGGGGCCAGGGCAGAGCCAGGAGCCTGGGGCTCCCCCCACCCCCTCCCTGGGCTCCCACGTGGGTGGCTGAGCAGGGGGCTGGGTTGGAACCAGCGGGGCCAAGTTCTCCTCTGCGACACTTGTGGCGGTGGTGAGGCGGTTACTGCGCTGGCCTTAGCCCCGCGACCATGCAGTGTGCGGGTGCAGCTAGGCTGCCTCTTCAAGCCCTGTGTCGGTTTATTGGGTTGTTGAGCGGCGGGGAGACACGGGGAAGAGGTCTTCCATCTGCTGCCCATACCCCAAATGCCTGCAGCAGCCAGGGCTTGGCCAGGTGCGAGCCAGGAGCCGGGAACTCAGTGCAGCGCCCCCTCGGCCATCACTGCTGCCCCCAGGGTCTGCATTAGCCCGAAGCCTAAGACCGCCTGCAGTGTTGGCATCCCATATGGGCGCCGGTTTGAGTCCCAGCTGCTCCACTTCCGATCCCGCTCTCTGCTGTGGCCTGGGAAAGCAGTGGAGGATGGCCCAAGTCCTTGGGCCCTGCACCGCGTGGGAGACCCGGAAGATGCTCCTGGCTTCAGATTGGCTGAGCTCCAGCTGTTGCGGCCGTAGGGGAGTGAACCAGCGGATGGAAGACTTGCTCTTGCTCTCTCTCTGCCTCTCTTTCAAATTAATTAATTTAAAAAAATAAGAAGCCACCAACTTCACTCTAGAAGTGTGCAGCCCCCGGGATGGTCGGGCGTTAGCAGAATCCGGGTGGGTGGATGGTTTTGTGTGGTCCGTGAAAGAGGCTCCAGGACCCAGACTGCGGCCCTCGGTGGGAACACGGTCCCCATCTGTCGGGGTCCCCTCCACACCTGCCACGTGTGTCCTGGGCGGGATTCATGGCCCCGGGCGTGGCCTCTGGGGGGTCTGGCTTCTCCATTTACATAATGCCTTGGGAGTTGGGCGCTGCGGCTGTTAGATTGCTCTGCTTCCCTCTGCGTGTGTGCGTGCCTAGGAGCGGGGTCGTTGGGTCACTCGAGGAGCTGCCAGGTGTCCTGCGGGGCCTGGTGGTCTCGCCTTCCCGCCGGCACCACCCGGCTGCCTGGGCTCTGCAGGTGCGCCGGGCAGGCGCCGCCCCGACGCGCTCTGGGTCGCTTTCCAAGGAAAGCGTGGTCTCATTCTGCGCCGTTCTCGGGCTTGTCTGTTTGCTGGAGCTCCTTGTCCGTGCTGGATCTGCGGCCCTCCCCTAACGGGAAAACCGCTCAGCAGCAGGTGAAGCCGCCCACAGAGCTTCCTGCCACCGCGCCCTGGCTCAGGCGCCGGCCCCGGCCAGCTGCAGCAGGCTAAGCCACCGCTCGCAATGCCAGTGTCCCCGTACGGGAGCGCGGGGTCGAGTCCCGGCTGCTCCACTTCTGATCCAGCTCCATGGCTTGCTTTCTGATTTACTTTAAAGGCAGAGTTACAGGGGCAGGGAAGAGATCTTCCACCCACTGATAGACTCCCCAGATGGCCACAATGGCTGGGGCTGGGCTGAAGCCAGCAGCCAGGAGCTTCTTCCCAGTCTTCCACTTGGATGCGGGGGCCCAAACACTCGGGCCATCTTCCACTGCCTTCCCAGGCCATAGCAGAGAGCTGCATGGGAAGTGGAGCAGCCGGGACTGGAACTGGCACCCACACGGGACGCTGGTGTCACAGGTAGCAGCTTTACCCGCTACGGCACAGCGCCAGCTCCCGGCTCTCTGTTAAGGCCACTGGAGGAGCAACAGATGATGGCCCAGTTCTTGGGTCCCTGTTACCCCTCTGGGAAGGCAGGATAAGTGCTTGGGCCCTTGGCTACCCACGTGGGAGACAGACAGAGTTCTGGGCTCGTGGCTTCGGCCTGGCCCAGCCCTGGCGTTGTGGGCACCTGGGGAGTGAGCCAGGGTCAGACACGCGCACGTGTTCACTCGCTCTCTGCCATTCAAGTGGATTAAAAGAAACACAGATGGCCGGTGCTGCGGCTCACTAGGCTAATCCTCCGCCTTGCGGCGCCGGCACACCGGGTTCTAGTCCCGGTCGGGGTGCCAGATTCTGTCCCGGTTGCCCCTCTTCCAGGCCAGCTCTCTGCTGTGGCCTGGGAGTGCAGTGGAGGATGGCCCAGGTGCTTGGGCCCTGCACCCCATGGGAGACCAGGATAAGCACCTGGCTCCTGCCATCGGATCAGCGCGGTGCGCCAGCTGCAGCGCACCAGCCGCGGCGGCCATTGGAGGGTGAACCAACGGCAAAGGAAGACCTTTCTCTCTGTCTCTCTCACTGTCCACTCTGCCTGTCAAAAAACAAAAACAAAAACAAAACAAAAAACAAAAAAACAACAAAAAAAACCCAAACCACACAGATGGCTTGCAAGTGGTACCTCGGATTCTTCGGGCGATCTCGCTCTCCCGTGGTACTGTTTGGGGCGTCTGGTCAGTCTGCCACCTGTGCTGCCATGGCCAAGCCAAGACCTGCTCCTGGGTGCCCCCCGGGGGCCTCCCCATCATCTGCCCCTGGGTCCAGGGGTTGTGCACGGGGGCTGACTCCACCCTCTGCCTGCGGGAACCCGGGGCTGAGCAGCGCCATGCACGGCTGGGCAGTGTTCCCTCCCCAGTGGCCTTGGCCGCTCTGCTGTCCAAGCATCCACGGGGGGTGTGGTGTTGGGGTGGGGGCGGGGGGCCTGGGTGCGTCCTCACGCAGCAGGGAAGCTGAGTGCGCCTGCTCCAACCCAGCCTGGCTGCTCTGGGTTCCTTACGTTCCCACCCAGGGTCTGCATCAGCGGGTCAACTCCTGGGGGTGGGGGGAGCAGCTGAGGCTTAGAGAACGATGGGCGAGCTCTGTCTCCTAACTCTGCCTTTCAAATCCGTAAATCTTTTTACAACTTTTAAAGTTTTTAACAAATTTATCTGAAAGGCTGTTACAGGGGCAGAGTTGGGGCACGGGGGAGGGGCAGACAGAAACCTTCCATCTGCTGGTTCTCTTCCCAATTGGCTAAAGTGGCAGGTGCACTAGCAGGGAGCTGGATCAGAAGTGGAGCAGCCAGGACTCGAACCGGCGCCCATATGGGATGCCGGCACTACAGGTGGTGGCTTAACCTGCTATGCCACCGTGCTGGCCCCTTTAAAGATTTTCAGTTTTTTTTTTCTTTTTCTAGCTTTTTGAAAGCAGAGCGGAGATAAGAGACACAGATCTTTCATCTGCTGGTTCCCTTCCGAAATGACCACAACTGCTGGGGCTAGGTCAGGCTGAAGCCAGGAACCCAGAACTCCATCCGGGTCTCCCACCCGGGTGCTCCAACCTGGGCTCCTGGCACCGCAGGCGGGTGCTCAGTTCCCCGAGCCCCAACTGTTTGTTGTTTTGTTTTGTTTTGTTTTAATTAGAAGGCAGAATGCCAGGGAGAGGGAGCTCTGTATCTGCTGGTTCACGCCCCGGATGCGGAGGCTGGGTCAGGCTGAAGCCAGGAGTTTCTTCCGGGTCTCCCACACGGGTGCAGGGGCCCAAGGACTTGGGCCATCTCCTACTGCTTTCCCAGGGCACAGCAGGGAGCTGGATCAGAAGTGGAGCAGCTGGGTCTTGAACCAATGCCCATATGGGATGCCGGCGCCACAGGCAGCTTCTTTACCTGCTGCACCACGTCAGCCCCCCTCTGCTGCTCAAAGTGGACTGATGGGGCTGGCGCTGTGGCGCGGAGGTAAAGCCGCCGCCTGCAGTGCCGGCCTCCCGTTCGGGCGCGGGTTCACCTGGCCCAGCCCCGGCCGTGGAGGCCATTTGGGGAGTGAACCAGCGGATGGAAGACCTCTGTCTTGCCTGTCTCCACCTCTCTCTGACTCTTCCAGATGAGTAAAAGAAATCTTTGGGCAGGGGGGAGAGCTGATGGATGATGGACGGAGACGTGATCTCGCTGGCTCCGGAGCCTGGAATCTGGGGGCGGCGACCGAGTTCGCGCTGTCCCCGGCTTCCACGCCCTTCTCCGCACGCCCAGGGGTGACCCGCTCGCCTGTTTCAGAGCAATGAAGAGCAGAATACACGGTTTCTCGTAACAAAATTCCCATGACCTTTTCTTAGACCTTTTATTAAACAGTAACCATCCAGAACTTGGCTTTGTACATTTGGCTATAATAAATTATTTTTTTAAAAAAGTATTGCAAAAACCTTTGAACAACCGGATTAGGGCTCTGAAAATATGTATCTGTATATGCCATGTGGGATTTTTTTTTTTTTTTTTTTTTTTTTTTTTTTGCTAGTTGATTTCTAAACCAGCGGGGTCAGACTTCGATTTTTTCTATCTGAATAAAAGTTGGATGTCGGCGCAGCGGGTTTCACAGGTGCATTACAACCAGAAAACCAGGGCAGGCACACCGCGGCGAGGACACTGTTTTATTGAGCTCGGGGCAGTTGGGGGGCGGAGGGGAGGGGTTGTTTTTTAAACAAAAGCCAAGACTGCTGTGGGCAGGTGGGGGCAGGCATGGGGCGACGCGGGGTCTCCCCAGTCCGGAGTCTCTGCGTGGAAGTCCTCATTTTACCACGCTAAGAACCCAGCCCGGGCCGCGGGGGGGCCCGCGAGGCAGCAGGCGTGCGCACCTCAGCAGGTGACGGGCAAAGGGCAATGCAAAAAACTAGTTTATTGTGCAAGAGTTTAAGTGAAGGCCCGGGGGT